AAAAAAAAAAAAAAAGGTTGGGTAGGTGTTAGTGAAGAGGGGAAGAAACAGTATTCTGGACAGGGAATGGCATTTGTAAAGGACCTGAGACAGGTGGCAGCCTACTGCGTTGAAGAAAGTCTCACGGTACTTGAAACCCAACACATGGAAAATCCATCTCTGTTTTCTTCCTTAAAGACTGTTTTTCCATATTCTTTGTCTAGGCACATTATGGCCCAAGTCAGAAATCCTGGGTATCACTCTAGATACTTGTGATGTGTCAACTTAGCTAGGCACCCCCCTCCATCCCTGTCTCTGGTATGCTTCCAGTTTAAAGTGAGCAAGGAGAAAGGGGGGCCTGGGTGGCTTAGTCGGTTAAGCATCCGACTTTCGCTTAGGTCATGATCTCGCAGTTCGTGGGTTTGAGCCCCGCGTCGGGTTCTGTGCTGACTGCCAGCTTAGAGCCTGGAGCCTGTTTCAGAGTCTGTGACTCCCTCTCTCTCTGACCCTCCCCTGCTCACGCTGTCTCTCTCTCTCTCCTAGAAATAAATAAAACATTAAAAAAAAAAAAAAAAGTGAGCCAGGAGGGAGAAACAGCTATTTTGTAGCACACACACCTCCCAGTAATTCCATCAAACATGAATTTAGGTGCTGTGGTGAAGGGATTTTGCAAATATAATTAAAGTCCTAATTGGTTAGCTTTGAGTTAATCTAAGGGGAGATTATCCTGGGTGGCCTGACTTAATCAGATGGAATCCCTTTAAAAGAGGGCGAGGCATCCCCTTGGGTCACAGACTCCAGCCGGAGCTGGGCCTCCATGCCTCCATCGCCCTCCTTCCCTAGCAGGGTCATCCCTTGCTAACTGCCCGCAGCTGCTGCTTCAGGCTTGCCTAGCACAGCTCCCACAATTACGTAAGCCAGGCTGCTAATTCCTCATATTGAATCCATTTTTATAGATTTCTCAGTATTACGCGAGTATATGTAAAGGATACATTTATCCTATTGATTCCGCATCTGTGCTTGAACCCTGACTAATTAAGCGTATTCTTCCTGTAACCAGTCATTTAGCAAATCCTGAGATTCTGCTGCTTTAAAAGTTTCTGTTCTTTTGGTCCCTCCTCTCTGTTCTGTGCCTCAGGGCTCATATGAACTCCACCTCTTCTTTGCCGGGATCGTTGAAGTTCTCGTCCAGCTGTCTCTCTGCATCCTATGAGGTCCTACCACACTGAGTTTATTTTCATGTCGCTGCCCAGAGTTCTCTTTCTTTCTTTTAATATTTATTTATTTTTGAGAGACCCAGCACGAGCAGGGGAGAGGCAGAGAGGGGAGACACAG